ACATGTACTGGGTGAATGGAATTCTGGTAAACAGACCTTTAGTAATGGGGTAGGAAGGCCTGGGGTAGGGGTGGGGGAAGTCTTTTAGAGTCCTATGATCAGGTCTCATTCTTTTAGTGAGCCTGTGCCTCTGAGCTGTGGGTATCACAAGTGCCTCTCCACCCCTCATTGCCACACCTTAAGTGAGACACATGGCTAGAGAGTGCTGGAATTGAGTATTTCCTTTCCCCTAAGTCATTAAGGCTCTGATAACATTCCCGTAGATTAGGATCTGGCAAAACAGTTTCTTCTGAGTGCAGACCTAATTATGAAGAACAGAATGCTCTGACATATTTCAAAATGGTTAGTCCCTCTCTGTAGCCCCTGCCAGTTCTTCAAGGGGATTATTTTTTCCCCCCTGATATTCACTGTGGGAACCTCCAAGAGTTTCAGGAAATAAAACACTCAGAAGCGTAAAGACCCCCTGGAATTTTTAAGTCACAGGTTTACCCACGTTGAGCGCCAGCAGTCCCTCAGTCGTGCTTTGGGTCTTCCTACCTAGGCACTGGTTTCCATGGAGGTTTCTGCCTGTGAGTCTCTGCTCCGGTAAACTGTGCTCCTCTGTATAGTCGATCTCTCCAATTTGGGGGGCAGCTTTTTATCCTGTCACCTCAGTTCTTTGAGGGGTCTAAGAAGAGTGTTGAGTTTTCGGTTTGTTCAGATTTTTATTTGTTGTTAGGACAGAGTGGCAACAAGCTGGATCAGAAACTGGACTTCTTAAGCCTAATACTTAATTGGTGAGTATGTTCTTGCTGGCCCCAGCACGCTCTGCTCACACCCTCTTGTACTTCCTGATCCCCCTTTGAGATTCCTAGCTCCAACACAAGGACCATGTTCAATCTACTTTAGCTCATCTTAGTAGTTATGATACACAACCATAAAAAATAAAGAAAAAGAAAAATGCAGAGAATTGAGATAAAAAAGAGATAACTTTTTAAAATAAAACTTAGAAATGGATATTATTTGATATTTCTTTGGTTTGTTTGAAAAGGATTTCTTTTTTAGTTAAGAAAATGTTTATGCCTGTCAACTGAAAAAAAAAAACTGCACAACCTAAAAGCTGAGACTTATGTTTCAGTCGGTGGACTTACTGAAGACTTAAGCCCAGGAGGCAGTCCTCGGATGGTTCTGAGGAACTGTTCTGAAGAGGTAAGGGAGGAGCCAGGATATACAGTTTTTGCAAAAACAAAAACAAACAAACAAACAAAAACAGGTAGTCAAACATCAAAAGATTGCTGCTAATTAAAGAAAATCATGTAGCTCAAGTTAATGAATTTAACAGTACCTTCCACGTATGGGAAGATGCAAGAGTCTGGGTTTACTGAAATTACTCCTTTGATAGGGCCACTGTCTTATTTTTCTCCATCCTGAATCTCCGTAGGGTGCACAGTCAGGGGTGGCTGCAGTGGCTGGTGGCTTGAGGCAGCCTGTTTATCTCCATCCTAAATTCCCCTCAGGGTACACAGGGGTGGGGTGCAGTTAGTGGCTGGTGGCTTTACATCCTTTGTTTACTGAAATAAAATGACAGGTGACATTCTTTGTCCACAAATTGTTTTTGGCCTATTTTGTGTAGCCAGAAATGGTTACAAAACCAAGATTTACTAAAAGACTAAAGTAGAGGTCTTTTATAGGTCTTTTCCCCTGTCCTTCAAGAAATACACACTCTGTGGCATAACTTTGCTAAAATATCTCTTAAGACAAGATGCAAGATGGCAAAGTTCTTTTTCTAGCCAGCATGTCATGAATAAGAAAGACAAGGCAACCTGCACTCTCTGAGTGAATCACTAAATCAGCCAAAGGAGAAGGCAGGGCAATGGAAAGACGCTCCTTGCCTAAGATAGTGAATATGAGCATCTCTCCGTGTCTGAACGTAGAACCCTGCTCAAAACAGTAAAAAAAAAAAAAAAAAAAAAAAAGTCTCCCTTGAAAATGCTAGCTCTATGGAATTTTGGGTACTAATAGTCTTTATTGTTCGTTTTCTTTTAACTCATATAAATGGCTTATCATTTCAATTCGTACATATTTCATTCCTTTTCAGTATATTCATGAAAGTTAAATCTCAGATGAACACTGCACATATGACTTTCAAGAACACTGTAGCATCAGACAAAAAAACCTACCTAAGCGACCCTCACAGCACCACAGAGAAAAAGAAGAATGCAGAAATTGAAGCAGCAGAAGGGGGCAGTAAAACTCAACAGAACGCTCTGGAAGATTTTTAATAGGCTTTCTTATTTTCACTTCATACTGAGAATTTTCCAAGAAATTTCAGAGACTAATGAAAGAAAGTTTGTAAAACAGAAGCATATATTTGTCTAAAATGTACACAGAAACACTAAATATATACACTAATGAGAGTTACATTTGTACATAATCATAACCTTATTTTTATGGTGTGATATGTCATAGCATAATAATCATAGTACTTTTCCACATAAAACAGGTTTAGTCATTTTGATTTGGTTTAGGATATTTAATATCCTCCCATGACCAGCACCCCAAAATGTACTTATCCATTCTATTTTACTGTCTCAGACTTGTCAAAACTGATGAATAAATATCATAATAGTTTTTCCTCAAGCCCATAATTGGACTTCCTTTCTAAACTGTACCCATCCTTAAAGTGCTATTTTCTCTTTGAACTATTTTCTGATTGCATAGGAACATGCAACTGTCTCCACTCTATTGTGCTACAGAAGTTACAGATTAAACCGAGCAGTTTAACCAAATAGATGTTTTTAAATTGAATTTCCACTATGAAATGGAGTTCGATTTCTTTAAGCTCCAAGTAGTCTTAATGTGATTATTCTCCAAACCCTGTTTTGTTCTCACCTTTGAATCAGTGTCTTTGCAAACAACAGAACACATTTCTATACATGGTAGGTATACAATTAAGCTCTGATGAGGATGATGATGATGACTTTAAAATGAATTCAGTATTGCAATGTAAAATTTTAGTATCCTATCAGGGTCAGAGTATGGATTCTTACATGGCATTTAACCAAGCTTGAATTAGTAGTCCTAAATATCAACATAAAATTTAAGTAGATACATCCTACTCTCTTAAATGAAACAGAAAATTGGAATTATTAAAAGGAATTATTTTTTAAAATCTATGCTCTTAGTTGAAATTTCATGTAAGACTCAGTACAATAAATGGGAGTGTCACAAGTGGAATGATTAAATATGACGAGAGGAGGAGAAAGGCTTCCTGGATGAGATGGAATTTTAGTCATTTGTGTCTCATGTAGAATTAGATAATGTGTACATTAAGCAAAATGGTATAAAAAATGAAATCTAGTGAGCGTTTTTTTTAAGACCTCTACAAATTGAGGTATCTGGTTGTAGTTTTATTTCAGGTTTTATGCTGTCCTTTTCCATTAAGCATGTCTGGGTTAATTGAGCTTTTAATTCTTTATTTTGTTGCTACTTTTTTTTTTCCTAGCATTTCACCCTCACGCACCCCTCTGAACCATTACCAAAAGATAGACGTTAAACAAAAGCTAAGGTCTATTAAATTCAAAATTGTCAAAATCTCCCTTCCTTTACGTTCTTTCCATCCAAATTCTTCATCAAACTATGTTCCAAAATCAGAACAGAAAACTAGCCCTAATAAGCCCAGGTAATTGAAAAGTAAATGTAATGTACTTTAATTCATTGTCACAAGTCACCATCTTGGAAAAGTGGGCAGAAAAGACAACAAAGCAAACTTTAAAAATCTGCTTTCTTCTATCTGAATCTCCTGTGAAGAGGTATTGACCAAAACAGTGGAAACACACGCGGCAGAAAAAGAAATGCATTAAGCAGATGTGCTAGACTTCTAGCATCTCTGCAGATTCCGGTCACCTCCGCTTCCCTTGTTCATTAGAGAGAAAATAAAGTGGTGACCGCTCGATCTCAAATTGACTATTCACAGGTTAACTGTTCAGGATCAGTATTAAGGAGAGGAATTTTCCTTTTCTTCTCCATTCCAAGAAGCAACGAGGGGGTGGTAGTATGGAGAACGGTATTTCTTATGTTGAAAACAACTTAGCCATAAAGAGAAGTTACAGATATGTACACTGACTATACCTATTACATTTCATTCCGCCAAATAAAATTTTTAAATAATTAAAGGTGTGTATGTGTGTGCGGTATACACACGAGGTTAAGGGTCGTGACTAAAATCATCACACGTTTGAAATACATGACATGAGTAAAACATGTCAGCCTTTCTCGGCCTGACCCTCGCGAGTCTGTCCAGACTGTGACTTCTTCAACCCACCAAAGCCTAGGGACCAGACCAGGGGCGGCGGCGCGCGAGGGGATTCCCTGGGCTCCGGAACCTCCCAGTAGCTCCGGTACCTCCCAGCAGCTCTGATTCCCGGAGAGGAAGCCTAGGGGCCGCCCTTCCTCCCTGAAGAAGATATGCCTCCCCACCGGCTCTCGGAAGCCTGGGTCAAATATTAGGAGGAAGGAAAGGAATCAGGCGCAAAGCCCGGCGCCGGAGGCGGAGAAACTGGAGCAGGGGCGCAGGAGATGTGAGCGGGGAGGGGGCGGGACCGCTTTGCACCCACCTTGGGGAAGCCGAGCGCAGCTCCCCGGGCTGCCGAATTTCTCAGTTGCGTGGGTACCACCCCCACCCGGGTCTTACGCAATTATTAAAGTAGAGAGAGGGGAAAAAGTTTTGGAGAGGGAGAAGAAAAGGCGGAAAGAAACAGTCATGCCGTCACGTGGGCTTAGTTTTCAAGCATAAAAGGAAGGTCCTCTCCGTTAGCTTCCAGTCGAAGGACTTGCAGCGAGCTTCAGAGAACGCCCAAGAACGCCGCACAGCGCCGCCTCCAGTTCGACAGCCCGGAGCCCACACGCCGCA